ATGAAGATGGGTCTGAGCTGCAGGGAACTTTGGGCTAATATCCTGACCTGTTCCCTCACCTTCAACACAGATACAGAAAGGATATTTGAAGCTCCTTTGTGTGTGTTTTTGACGAACTACTGTAAAACTTAGCATTTCAACTGAAGACTAAACTGTGGCTAATCTTAACATAGAGTGGTTTATGACTGGAGGAGTGACGCGGCACCTTTGCAATTTTGGGCTGAGGCACTTTTCCTTCCATGACGCTCTCCAGATATTCAGATTAAACAATGGAGCATCGTAGCCCAACATCTGAAAGGAGCTAGTTTCAAACTTACCATAGTTATGACTCATCACTTTTTGTTAGGTTTGGACCAAACAGCAAATTGTGCTTAATAAGCAAAAGGGGAAAAAAAGCCTTGGAACCTTTCTCCGCTACTCTACCAGTTGGAGAAAGAGAATGAAGATGGCTGCAAGGTCTTTCCTATCACATAATTCAATACAGTGTCCACCTTCAGCCTGTAACACTGAACAAAATGACACATACAGGCTGAAGGGATGATGCCATCAGCAGTAGGAGATGGCTAAAGGCTTCCTTTTGCCATTTTGGAGTGCAGGCAAATCTTTTGCATTGTGTGCCAGGTGTGCACCCCCTCCCAAGATTTCAAAAGGAACCATTCAATCATCAGCAGTCACACAGTCCCAATGATGTCATTCCTAGTGCGCAGGCACAGCTTCTCTGCAGGATTTCTGCCCTTCGTTTGTTATGGAGTTAAAACAAAAACTTGACATTTACTGATTTACAAGAAGCATGTCTGTCCCATCTCATGCTTTATTTCATTCTAGTTCTGAGTAACATGTGTAACAACATTCTTAATTATATAATTATATCAGGCTGTCTTGAGGCAAAACTCTGCATTTTGACTTCTGGTCTGCCAAGTCTAAGAAATACTAGCTATTAGTTTTAGTATGCATACGTAACTATAATATACACAGACTGTATTATATATTATATGTACACAATGAATGAACAGAAAAAGAACAGGTATTTGTCCTTTTTGTACAGCGAAAAACCCATAAAAATGTAAACCGAGGCATTATTTCTTATGGATTTTGGCTTGTGAACCAAAAATTATGTAAACCGAGGTGTACGTAAACCAAGGTACTACTGTATACACAATGAATTGAGAGATAAAGAATATTTGTAATCTAAGGAGAGAAAAAAAGATGACCACATGTTTGTTTGAACGGATCATTCAAAAAAGAAGTAAACCGTACCACTGTTTTCTAAAGCTGTCTGCATATATCCTGTGCTCTTTGGAACAAATAAAATAAATTGATTTCATCATTATATCACACTTTTGATAAACCCAGTCATTCATGGCAGTTATTCATGGCAGCTAAACTTTAACTTTTTTATCCTTCCAGTTAAAGTTTAGCTGCCATGAATAAATTAATAATCACCTGAACATCAGAATATCCAAAAATCACTGCAATACCCATTGGAAATGCGATTAATCCCTTCCGGCTGAAGGGAGGGGGAAAGCAATCAAGCATGCAAGACCCATTGGAAATGCAAAGAAAACAAAGGGAGCAGGTCAGAAATCCAAAGAGAACAAAGGGAGCAGGTCGGAAATGCAAAGAGAACAAAGGGAGCAGGTCAGAAATGCAAAGAGAACAAAGGGAGCAGGTCGGAAGTGCAAAAAGCAAAGCAAAAGCAAAGCAAGATGCTTATATACTGCCCCATAGTGCTTCAAGTACTCTCTGGGCAGTTTACAAGTTAGTTATGCAGGCTACACATTGCTGCCCCCCCCCCAGGGAGCTGGGTACTCATTTTACCGACCTCGACCTCGGAAGATAGAAGGCTGAGTTAACCTTGAGCCGGCTACCTGGGATTGAACCCCAGGTTGTGAGCACAGTTTTAGCTGCAGTACAGCAGTTTAACTACTGTGCCACAATGCAAAGAAAACAAAGGGAGAAGGTCAGAAATGCAAAGAGAACAAAGGGAACAGGTCGGAAATACAAAGAGAACAAAGGGAGCAGGTTGGAAATGCAAAGAAAACGGAGCAGGTTGGAAATACAAAGAAAACAAAGTAAAAAGCAAGGGAAGCATGCAAGACCCATTGGAAATGGAGGAGGAAACAAAAAACAAACAAACCCCCCAAGACCCATCGGAAATGGGTGGAAAATTAAAAAAACAAACAGACCCCCCAAGACCCACCACAGCACAGAAACATAATCTCCCCAGGCCAAAACCACCCTGCAAAAACACGCAGAACAGTTCTTAAAAGCAGAAAACAGCACCTTACCTTACCAGGCAGCCTGCTCCGATTGCACACTCTCTAACTGCTGGGTCAAAAGAGATACAAAGAAGCAGCCTCGTCGCCATCTACAATTAGCAATTTGATTTTTCCGCCTTTTTCCCCTGCCTTTTTCTGTTCATAACTTGAAGCTCCAGTCGGAAGTAGAAGCAAAATTTGGGGTGGGAGCTGGTCGTAACTTGAAATGGTCGTAAGTAGGGATGTTTATAAGTTGAGGCATCACTGTATGAATATAATTTGTCCATGTGGATAAAATTAAGGTTTGTGCATGCTATAGAGATGGAATGCAAAGCAATTTGGTTGTTGTAAAGGAAAGATTCAAGTACTTTTAAAGTGTGTAAAACATATTGTTCCCTTTTAGTCATTGTTATTAATGGGCCATTTCCTTGTGATAAAAATCAGCCTCTCAGTGAAGGCACTTCTATATCAGTGATTAACAGCTTCTATATGAATTCATTAGCCTGCAGTGTGAGCTTTAAAATGAATAAAGTAGGTTTGTTTGAACATGATTTTTGATTGATACAGCAATTTTCTGAACTTATGTTAGTTCTCTTCTGAAAACCAGTTGAAGGAAGAGGGATCACTGAATCAATGGAAAGGAAGTGAATGCACGAACAATTCATTTTTTGAGAATGCTGCCACTATTTTTTTCACAAGTACCATGGGGGAAAGGGAAAGAGCTCTTTGAACTCTTTTTAATCTGTAGCAATAGATACAGATGATATGTAGATAATTGTTGCATATACAAAAAATGAATGTCATTGCCCAAAACTCAAATTGGTAGCCTGAACTAGAGTTGAACCACTGCACCCATAGGATTTACATAAGTGATGACTTAGTCAACTGTTTCAGTAGCTGGTACTAGAAACTGGAATTATGCCAAAAATTTAAAATGGCTTGATATAAAAGATGAGTGGAAATATTTAAATAACAATTCAATCTGGGAGTTTTTCATCATTTCACTTCCACTAGGCGTTCAGTAAATCTGCCCACATCTGCTGAAGCATTAATTCAAAACAATAATATTATTTTCTCCAATATACCAAGAGTGCTGAGCTGTCATTCCTTTGTCCTGTGTATCTCTGAATGCTGTGGTGTTACCTAGTGCCTCAAAATGATCCCTTTTGCCCCAACAAGTTGCATGACTTGATGAATTTATTTTTTGTTTGTTTGTTTGTTTGTTTGTTTATTTATTTATTTATATCCTGCCCATCTGGTCTTACAACCACTCTAGGTGGCTTCCAAATACATAGATAAAAACATACAAATATACACAAAATGATAACATGAGCTAATAAACTAATAAATTATTCAAGATGGCAAGAAAAAGAAAGAAAAAGTAATCAAGGGTTAACTGGAGGAAGGCCTGCACAAACATCCAAGTTTTTAGTTGGTTTTTGAAGATATCCAGCGAAGGGGCCGCACAAATCACCGGAGGGAGATTCTTCCAGAGGCGAGGAGCCACCGGCGAGAAAGCCCGGTTTCTAGTTCTTTCCTTGTAGGCCTCTCTCGGTGTCAGGCTCCTCAGCCTCACCTCCTGACTCGCACGGATGATACGGGTAGACCTTGGTGGGAGTAGGTATTCCGCCAAATATCGAAAATTTGAAATCCCCCCCCCCAAAAAAATGCTGTAGGCTAGAATAGAACAATTATAAATCCATTTGGACTTCCAGATTCTGGAATATTGGAAACTGTTCTGTAGTAGAAGGAAGCTGGGTCCAGGTAAAAGGTAAAATGAGTACCCTTGACAATTTTAGTCCAGTCATGTCCGACTCTAGGGGGTGGTGCTCATTGCCGTCTCCAAGCCATAGAGCCAGCATTTTGTCCGAAGACAGTTTCCATTGTCACGTGGCCAGCGTGACTAGGGAATGCCATTTTACCTTCCCACCAAGGTGGTACCTATTTATCTACTCGCATTTACATGCTTTTGAACTGCTAGGTTGGCGGGGAGCTGCTGGTCTTCTAACCCGCAGCACCATCACGTCCCTTATTCCTTTATCCTGTATATCTCTGAATGTTGTGGTAAATCTGGTTCCTATAAGTCAATTCTGACTTGATGGCAAGGAGGACACACATAGGGAAAATCAGTAGCCAATCCACACTTGTTCTAACCCCATGCCAAAACTCAGTCCTGTTGAAAGGAGAAGAACTCCAGTGATCTCCCATCTCTGACTGGGATAATATGAACCTACCCGGCAGTGAAGATCTAGCCAGGGGGCCCTTTGGAAAGAGCCGTCCCTCAAGGACGTAAGAGGGACGGCTTGTAGACAAAGAGCCTTTTCGGCAGCTGCCCCCAGACTATGGAATGCCCTCCTGACTGGGATTCGTCTGGCACTGACGCTGATGACATTTCGGCGCCAGGTCAAAACCTTCCTGTTCCAGAAGGCTTTTAATTGAAATGATATTAGCTGAGGGTCCGATGGCAATTTTTATATATATTTTAATTGCATTTTAATTGTTATGAATTTTTATTGTATTTTAAATGTTGTAAGCCACCCAGAGACCTTTGGGTAGCGTGGGCGACATATAAATTAAATAAATAAATAAATAAAATAAATAATGGGGTTTACTTGTCTCACTGCCCACCAATGCTGAATGAGCTCCAAGGACTTTGTGCAACAAATTCTATTGCCCTGAAATGAATCTGAAGATCATTTCCCGTACCCAAGTAATGCCACACTCCTTGTTCATTCTGTACAGGCTGCATGTGCACTCCGCGGCTGTTGCTGGAGCCCTCAGAATGAGTCATCCATACCTTGGTGCTACTTTTCTAGCAACCACGGATACAGAACTGCAGGGAGCACAAAAGACACAAACACAGGTAAAGAGAATGATGATAAACTGCTTTCCAAAGCACAGAATATTAACTGCACACTTCAAAAAGTATGAAGGGTAGGACAACTAGGAGGATCAGCTGTTAGATATTCAGAGCTCAGAATTCACTAATTACAACTCAGATTACTGCCTGTATTGAGCTACTCGCTGGTAACAAGTAATGCAAGTGGCAGATATAAAGTTGGTTTTTAAATCTGAAATTATTTTCACTTTCCTATGTCAGAATTGGCCAATAGAGGGAACCAGATAGTATTGACCTGTATTTTCGTGATTTCTCGTACAGCTGTCTGAATAGCTCAGTGAACTGGGCACCTGACTACAAAGCCAGAGGTGGGGAGTTCATATTAACACTGTGCTGTGCAGGAGAAGAGCAAACCACCATATCAGTGGGCAAGCTGTAGAGCACTTCCCAAAAAGGGACTGGGAAATCACTTCTAAGTACTGTATACCCAAATAATGCTGTAACATGTTGCCACAAGTCAGAATCAGCTTGATGATAGCATTTTTTTATTAGTATTAATGAACAGAATGTCAAAATCCTGTTACTTAGTATAGTGGACCACACTAGAGTAGGCACATTGAATCAATGGGTGACCCACATCCTCCATAAGTTCATCTGATTCAAATGGGCCTACTCTAATTGTGAATTACTAGGCTAAGTTTCAAAGCAAAGCAAAGTGTGCTGCTTATAAGTTGCCGTTAGAGTAGGCCCATTTGAACCAGTGGAACCTACAAAGGACTCACCGTTGACTCACCAAATCTCGACTGACTCAATGGTTTTACTCTAGTGTGATTTATTATGCCAAAGAACAGGTTGTGTCCAATAAGACACAGTGCAAAGAATACTAATAACGGCAAACAGGCTGGTAATAAATGTTGAGTAATGCAACACATTTCTTCTAAAACAAAATATCCAGGGCTATTACATATGGAACATTATGCTATGGATTTTATAAACAGTGATAGAAGCAACCCTCTTGTTTCTTTTCAAGGATTTGAAGTTAAACTAAAAAGAAATGCTGCCCCATCCTTGTTTGGAGGTGATATTTCAGAAGTTCTCCTCACTGCGGAATATCAGACAACAAACCGTTTCCGGTTTAAGGTTAGTTTTTTCCCCCTTCCTTAAAAGCAGTCATCTTCATCTGATGAGTACATTTCTACAGTTGGGTTACAGCCTGACTAGTGGTGGTGGGGATGCTTACTCCATCAGTTCTTTGATCACCCATCCCACATGGGCAAAACTAGGGTCGCACTTTATTAACATTTAACTTGAACCATTCCCATGTCAGACAGAGTAGGGGTGTGCTGTTGTGTGAGATCCTGGTTTGGAGCTGAAGGTCCCACCTGACCTCCACTCCAAACTCACGCAGGTGAGTCCCAAACTCTGACATTATGCAGTCTGCAAGACAGCCCGGCCTTGGATGGCCAATGACCAGTTGACCTCCTTGGCTAGCTGGCTACCCAGCCTTTTGGCCCCAGGTGGACCATGGAGGCTCCCAGTACATCCACCTCCTGGCACCATAATCTCGGGATCTGCAGCACCAGGAGATCAGATGGGCTAGCACCCCTTTGGTGCCCTAATGGGAACTTACCAATATTTTTACCTTCCATACTGAGCTTGTGGTACAGTAGTTGAACTGCAATACTGCAACCAAAACTCATGACCCAGGCTCAATACCAGGTAGCCAGTTTGAGGTTCACTCAGCCTTCTGTCCTTCTGAGGTTGGCAAATTGAGTACCTATCTCATGGGAGGGGGGCAATGTATAGCCTGCTTAATTACATTGTAAATTGTCCGGAAAGTGTTTTAAGTGCTGTTTGGTGGCATATAACCAGCACACTTTGCTTTTGGCTATACTAGCCAGAGTGACCTATTTAAGATCTACCCAGCCCCAATAAGTTCAATAATGGCAGTGTGGGATAGGCCAGAGAGAGAGAGAGAGCCCACTCACCATTCAAATATGGCAGTAAGATAAGGTGGGCCAAAAAGGTACCAGATTCTCTTAGCCAACTTGGCTGCTTGCTATACTGGGTGGAAAATTATGAGGGTTGGAACAGAGGTAAATTAACACAAACCTCGTGAAGATCTTTTGGTAAAGGCATATTGTCCAAGAAAAACAAACTCTGAACAATTATTTCCTTTTTGGTTTATAATAATAAGACAATATTAATAAAAAGATGACCTTCAATGAGTGAGTCTGGAGAATGTTCAGTCAATTAGAAAATTTGTACAGATTCATTAACTACAGCTGCAGAAGGTTGGCTAATGAATAAAGTGTTTAACCATACAGCAGCCTAATACAATTAATTATATTCATTAAACCTGTAACATGTTTGCCACTGATACATAATGCATGGCTGTGAAGGGAAGTTGGCATCCAATGAGGAGAAGTTAATGCTGGCATCTCTGTTAACTTTGCTCTAATTGTTCCACTTTTGCAGATTACAGATCCTGCTAAAAAAAGATTTGAAGTCCCACATGAACATGTGAAACCCTTTGAGGGACAAAAAGCAACCAATCCAAACTACAGGGTTGAAGTAATTAATAATCCTTTTGCCATCCAGGTGATCCGGAATAGCAATAACAAAGTCCTGTAAGTTGCTTTTTTTAGTGGTTTGTTTTTAAAAAGAACACACATAATATTTTTCAGTGATTCAAACGCTTCCCTGATCCAATCAATAAATAATACATTGAGTAAGTGGTTCCCAATTTACTAAACAAATGAAATTATTTATTGATCTATTACATTTTTGGACTGCTTAACACTAAAGGTTCTCTGGCAGGTACATGTTTGCGGCACTGTAGCTATGGGGCTTACATTTGTTTGCAGAAGATTCTGGGAATAGTCTGAGCCTGAGGATTTAATCTGTTTAATCTGTTGTCTAAAACTGTGTATGAAGAATTACCAGAGAAGCATGATGTCAAAAATAAAGTCAGGGGGAAGAGAGGAGAAAGCAGAACCTACTTCTTCAGGCATAAGGAATTCAAATATATGTTTCTTTCCTGTGTTAACAAACCATTGCCACCTTGTCTATTATCTCTATCCTCATTGAAACATGACTCTCACCACCTTAGTGATATGTATAGAGGCATGTATTGTCAGTCCTTGTGTCTGAAGAAGTTGATTTTGATCCATGAAAGCTTTCACTGATACAAATCTGTTAGTCTTCAAAGTGGTGCTATATTTTGCCTCCCTCACTTCTCCTTCCCATTTTTTTAAAAAGTAAAACATGTATATGAAGTAGTATTGTTTGGGGAGAGTTATGTCTAGTAATATATCATATTACTTTCTCTCTGTGGTCGAGAGAGTTAGAGCAGGGATGAGAAGGAATGGAGGAAGAGGGAAAAAGAAGTGTCAAAGGAGGCATCTTATTAGCCTCAAATCATTTCAAGAAATCCCTTCTTCAGAGTCAGTAGCTTGAATCCTATTGGAATTTTGCAGGCGATTTAGTGAAATCACCTAAGCTGTGGGAGCAAATTTCAACAAAGTATAATGAGATTCAAGTCATGCAATTGGGTGTGCCACTAGGCCTGTGAACAGCACCTTGTTTATTAGTGGTACTTTGCTGCTGATGTTACTTTATTGGAAACCTGGCTCATAATAATGGAGTTGGAAGGGGTCTTTGAGACCATCAAGTCCAACCCCTTGTTCAATGCAGGAATCCAAATCAAAGCAGATCTGATGGATGGTTGTCCAATATTCTCTTGACTGTGTTCTCAAAGGATTTCACAGCCGGGATCCAATGGTTGTTGTAGGTTTTTTGGGCTGTCTGGCTGTGTTCTTGAGATTTTTCTTCCTAATGTTTCACCAGTCTGTGTGGCCGGCATCTTCAGAGGACAGGAGTCAGAACTCTGTGCTCTGGTGCAGTAATAACCCGCCAGATATTTCAGCAAATAGCCCTTGTGGTTCTGCAACTTCAATTTTCCATGTGATGTTAAGCTTCTTAGATGGAAATAGCTGCAGCATGTATGTTGGTTTCAAGCTCTTCTGCAGCTAGCAGTTAGTAATTTATGGCCCATCTCTTAAAACAGAGCTCTTCTTCAGCTAGCAGTTAGTAATTTATGCCGCCACCCCCCTTATCCCTTTATGCCTTTTTGAAAGCCCCCCCCTTATCCCTTTATGCCTTTTTGAAACTTCTCTTTGGCTGGGGAAGGGAAGTTGTTCATTGTTATTATTGTTGCTATTGTTATCCCACATTTCTCCAAATGCATGGTCTCAAGGCAAATTGAGAGAAATATACTATAGGTCATCGCAAGGAATTGCACTGGCCAGTCAGCACTACATATTTGCACCATTCAAGTGGGAAATCACACTTTCCTCATCACAAAGATTGCCACTTGAGTGCTGCCACCAAAATGAGCTGACGTTCTCCCTGGAGTACAGATGTTTGGAATCTTTGTAACACTTGGATAACTACTGTACATCCACTGTCCAATAAAACTATAATCTGGAAGGCTTCAATGTCTGGATCAATGATGATGGTGACAGAAATATAGACATTAAAGAGGCAAAATAAAGGGAGAGAAAAGTCAGAAACATCATGGTTCACTTTCTCGGCCCCCATTATGATGACAGACAAAAGATGATTAATTACTCCCCTGTTCTAGTTTTAGAATTGGCTTCAGTGTAGCCAACTGCAGTGAAATCAGCCATAGCCTGTGAAGCTGCAGAGTTCAAAGTGATGATACAGAAAATGACAATTTTAAGGCAAGTGCAGACTGCTGCTTTGTAATGCTGACAAAAACCGAAAACGGATCATGCAGTCTAATTAAGAATCTATGGGGACAATCATCACTATTTGCAAGAGGTGTTAAATCTGAGTAACATGGGGCTTGATAAAGGAATTACAATAACAAAAAGCCAAAGGCACCTAAGTCGACTATATACCTGGACAACATTTGTCCAGCTTTTGTCAGTTATTACCAGGTTTTAAGAGACCTGATAGTATTTTGCAGCATAGATCACCACTTGAGTTTAATTTATATGCTCACCTTTTTCAACTTTGGAAAATGTGGCTGGTTAGATAGGAATGGTGTTACATTTTTAGACAGGTTTTACATTAGTTGATGTTGTATGTGGCCGTAACATCAGTTAGATATGTTTTATTTTGAATGTGCTGAACCTGTCTAGCCAGAGGTGACAATGGAATAAAATTGGAAAATAGGTGTATATATCATGAATTATGATGCATCATTCAAATCACTGTCAGCTGTTGTACAGAATATTATTTGCCTCCAGTTCTACCGATGCTAAAGGATGCTATTAAAATAGTCTGTCATGCCAGATGCCATATTTTCTATGAGGGGCACACAATATAACAGCTATAATTTCAGCTGCCATCTAAAATGGGATATGCAGTAGTAGTATTTTTAAGAAAGTTATTATTTATATCCCATCCCAGTTTATCCCTGTTCCCATAGCTTATCCTCTAGTTGCATTCAACCTATGCTTTTCCATTTTTTATTTACACTATTGAGGCTGATTTCAAAGGCGATGCATTGATGTGCATGAACTACTACTACTACTACTACTACTACTATTCTTATTCTTATTATTCTTCTTATTCTTATTCTTATTCTTATTCTTATTATTATTATTATTATTATTATTATTGCACCAGTCAAAGACCATGGCAAGATAAAACAATTACATTCAGTCAGACTGTCATAAAAATGACAGTAAAAACCAGCTAAAATTAGAGACAAAATAAATATACATGCAAGTTAGATACCTTTAAGTCAGTACTTTAAATGTCTTTGAATCAATACTTTACTTAAGAGATTGATTAGTCAATTGCAGGTGGTATCTGACTGTCATTGTATTAATACACACTAACATTAGTGAGTTTGTCAGATTCCGTTCATGCTGTTATATTTTCAGAGCTCAGTACCGGTTTCAGTCCAGAGTCCTTAAATTTCTCCCTGCATCTAGCCACCTTTATTATGAATAGGTGACACTTTGGGTGTCCCCTATTGGTTTCTCCTTTGAAGCAGGAAGTCCAGTTTATCTTTCACATCCAGGCAAAAGGCATTAATAGCCCTATTGGTGAAGGTCGAGTCATATGAGATTGTTATATGTGAAGAAAAGATGAAGGCATGCCGATGAATGCCTGGATCTGAGTGTGGGATGGCTATGTTGGTTTTGTGTTCAGCCTACTTATTTTGTGTTTCCTTCTGTGTGTAGAAGAACAGCTAGAGACAGTATCCATGCTCAGGGCAGGTAGTTTCATGGCCTTCCAGCAGTACAGTTTCATGGCCTTCCAGCAGCCTCGTGGCACAGTGGTTAAAACGCTGTACTGCAGCTAAAACTGTGCTCACGACCTGGGGTTCAAATCCCAGGTAGCCGGCTCAAGGTTGACTCAGCCTTCCATCCTTCCGAGGTCGGTAAAATGAGTACCCAGCTTGCTGGGGGGGCAATGTGTAGCCTGTATAATTAAAAATTGTAAACCGCCCGGAGAGTGCTTGTAGCGCTATGGGGCGGTATATAAGTCCAATAAATAAATAAATAAATACATACTTAGGACTTGCAAATTTTAGCACAAAGTGCTTGTCCCACATTAAAATCCTAGAATAATTGAGTTGAAAGAGGCCTATAAGGCCACTGAGTCCAACTCCTTGCTTAGCACAGGAATCCAAATTAGAATAGATCTGACAAATGGCTGTCGATTTTTTTCTTCAATGCCTCCAGCATTGGAGCGCTTACCCCTTCCCAAGGTAATTGGTTCCATTGTTGTACTGCTCAAACAGTTTAGAAGTTTTTCCTGATATTCAGCCTAATCTGGCTTCTCTTCTCTGAGGTTCCCATTGTATGTTTTCCAGTACTAAACTTTCCAAAGGTTGCCTGTCTCTAAACTAATCTGTTCTCAGAGATGGGAAGTGTTTTGAGGCTTTTTTGGACCGATGGTCATACTTTCTATGAGATTCTGGGATGTGCCGTCAAAAAGCTCAAATATTTCCTGTCTCTGACTACTACAGACATGATATATACTCAGTAGATATCTAAAATGACGCAGAAATATATTGAGCCTGATGTAAATGGCACCAAGTGAATATAATTTCACCATAGGAATTGTTTTGGAAGGCCTTGCTTGCCTTGCAGACCCATCTAGGAGGAATACATGCTGAATGTTGGCCAGTGCTTACTGATTCACAAACTGTTAGATACCAGCTCAAGCATACATGAAGAACAAAGCACTAGAAACAAATGTGGTAGTCTAAACCAGGCAGAAAGACACATTCTGAAATAGTAACAGAAAGGAGGAAAGTAGATAATCAGTCGGGGAAGTAAACTGTGTTTTTTCAGGATGAAACTATAGCTGAGAGGAAATACTTTCCCTTATGTTGTTGACTGCCTGTCCTTTAGAACAGTGATTCCCAACCTTTGGTCTCCAGGACTGCAACTCCCAGAAGCCATCACCACCACCTCTGCTGGCCAGGATTTCTGGGAGTTGAAGTCCAAGAACATCTGGAGGCCCAAGGTTGGGGACCACTGCTTTAGAAGCTTTAAACTGTTGAAGGCATCACTGACAGAGATGAGGAAAGTTGTTTTGGACTACAATTCTCATGAATATTCTGGGAGTAGTAGTTTAGAAAAGTAATGCTTCCCATCCCTGACCATCGCTTTAAACTGTTGAAGGCATCACTGACAGAGATGAGGAAAGTTGTTTTGGACTACAATTCTCATGAATATTCTGGGAGTAGTAGTTTAGAAAAGTAATGCTTCCCATCCCTGACCATCTGACTTTAAACTGTTTAAGGCATCACCAACAGAGATGAAGAAAGTTGTTTTGGACTACAATTCTTATGAATATTCTGGGAGTAGTAGTTTAAAAAAGTAATGCTTCCCATCCCTGACCATCTGATGAAAGTTGAAGGCACATATACTGCCAATGTAATCATACTGTTGTTTTTCCATTGCTTGAGATGAAGGGATGGAGGGAAGCAATATTTTGAAGTATATATGTCTACAGATGAGAAGATTTTTATGCACAGATATCATATTACCTTGTGATTTTTCCAAACAGTTTTGACACCTCTATTGGACCACTTGTGTATGCTGACCAGTTCTTGCAGCTCTCCATCCGAGTACCCAGCTGGAATGTATACGGTGTTGGAGAACATGTCCATAAACAATACCGACATGATTTTAATTGGAAAACTTGGCCCATTTTTACTCGGGATGCCTTTCCTAATGGAGTAAGTGGGGAAAAAACCTTTCTTATGATACTCTAGAATAGGGGTTCCCAACCCCTGGATTGCAGCCTGGTATTGGGCCGTGGCCTTGGCAAGCTGGGTCACGGAGAGAGATTTCCTACCCCACGCATGCACTCCCCCCACTCATGCCCACACACGTGCATGGCTTGCCCATCTGCATGCATGGGTGCCCTGCCCACCTACACATGCATGGGAACATGCCCTGCCTACCTGTGAGTGCACCCTGTTCATCTGAGCATGTGTGTGAGCTCCCACTGCCCAGCCCATCCATGAGTGTGCTGCGCCCACCCATGAATGTGGGGGAGTGCCTCACCCCCTCACATGGACCACGCCCCTAAACGGTCCACAGTTTGAAAAAGGGTGGGGACCACTGTGTCTAAACAATCAATATCTGTGCTGTGTGGTAGAAGAATTAGCCATAACCAAAGCTTGGAATATTGGGTTTAAAAACAGTTAGAATCAAAATGGGGGGGGGACCTTCTTAAATATTGTAATCTGAAAAGGCTCAGCTTAATATTAATATTATTAACCATGTTAATTAAAACTTCACTGAGTGTGCCATCTTCCAAGACTATAGGTCAACTCATTCTTCATCTCTCCCAATGCCCAAAAGTGTTTGAACTGATATATTTGATGGGGAAAATTAAGCTCACTTAATGTGCTTTAAATATTGTTTTCAAAGTAGAGATCATCCACAGTATATAATATATGTTTCCTAATTCATTTGGAAACATAAGTTTGCAGCTGTTTTATGCCGATTTACATAAGAATATATCTCATTTAACTTAATAAAATCACAGTTACAGGCACCTTCCACTTGGGAATCTGGAGCAAAAGGATACAAACCACTCTCTAAATTGATGTTCTTTTCTAGTTGTTTATCTCTTAAACAACAACAGTATAACTGGAACTGCAGTATAGTTTATGTTAATTTTGTGAAGTTTGGGTAAATATTAGAAACATTTCAAACCACAAATGCTGTTTTTGCAGATTTGCTTCTTGTATTCATCTCACTTTAATTGCCTTTATTCTTCAAAGGACATGAGCAATTTATATGGTGCTCACACTTTCTTCTTGTGCCTGGAAGACAACACCGGACATTCTTTTGGTGTATTCTTGATGAACAGCAATGCCATGGGTAAGGATGCTACTTGTGGCTGTCATGCTGATCAGATGGCATTACTCTAGCCTTTTACATGTTTCATTGCATGATAAATCTGCGTAACGGAAGATCAAAATGCTTTTCATTTAACACGTCTGTATTCTTCTGAGCAGCTAAAATGAACGTTGCTTCAAATGTAGTTGTGTAACAGTGTACTCCTTTACGTGTCTACTCAGAAGTAAGTCCCATTAAGTTTACTCTTAGGGTAAGCAGGCATAGGGTTGCAGGCCAATTCTTATGGATTTCTCAAAAGACATACGTATGGTTTACACTAGGACAGCATATTTACAATTCTCCTATTGTTTACATACTGATCAAAATCTATAGGATAGTTCTGTTGACAGAATTGCTTCTGTGAGCAGACCTGGGATCAGATGATTCACACTCCCCAGTAGCCCCCACATTGCCTTGAGAAATTATTTAGAACAGTGGGAACCAGTTTGGGAACCATTGCTTCAGAGGACTGGAAGTCTGTCTAGAGCAGTGATCC